AACAGGGACTGCAATCGATAATTCCATTCATCTTGAAAACTCCTTATTGGTAATTAGATATTGCTGTTTATAGTAACCTATTCATCAAATCTACCGTTACTTATTTCTATTTACCTTCTATTTTATTTATTTGCAGCACCTGTGATAGAGGATTCCGCTTGTCTCTACCTGAAATTCATAGTTATTCAAACATGTAATTTTCTCTATTTTAATAAACTGTGTTTTGTGAGAGAAATGCACAGCACTCCTGTACTTGGCATAGTCTTTTTACACGTACTAGAACGACGCGATTAGGGGTCCGTTTGCGCTGTAGCGCTTTGAATAATTTAAATACTATTCAGCCGAGTAGAAGAGCAGTAAAAAATGTCCCACAAAATTGCACTTATTGATGTCGGGTAAAAATATTTCAACAATAGGCTTTTTCAATAATTCTTGAGAAGTTTTATAGTTCCCGGTCTTGTTCTAAGAGTTGCTTTGGGAACCAACGGTGAGGAGCGGAGAACCTCTGCCCGCCAAGCTACGCGTTCGTGTTCACGTTTAGCTCGACTACGACGGGATTTGCAATGTCGACGGAGGCGATGATCACTGAATTCTACTTCCAGACTTGCCACTACGATTTAGCGCCAGTATTTTGGTATCGCCTAAAACCGGAGCGTTGTGCATCTCCCCATTCATCTCTGGTTTTGTGGACGTTGAGTACAATCTATGTAAAGTATGAAAGTGGCGGATCGCATTGAAGCTATTACCGTGATCAGAGTCGTGGTGAAAATTGCAAACGTGAATTATTTAAGAAGACACAATATTGGGTGAAACGGGAAATGGCAATTGGAAAATTGTTGAACGCCTGTCAAGTTTCTTAGATAGAAATGTAGCCCACGTATGTCTTGTTGCTTCTCTATAAAATATCGTCGAGCGGTGTGTTTCAGACAAGTAACGGTGATTGTGATTTTATTTATTCCATGACTCCTCAACCTGGTAATACGTGAGTAACGAGAATTTCACACTCTGTCCTGATATTTACATGTAACACATCCGTCAGCTGTCGTCACGCAATATGCAATAATTATTCAATGTGGGCCACAATTTCTAACACATTTGCTCCATTTCTTGGAACTTCCAAAAAGTCAATTACTACATATAGGATTTTCCAGATAACCCATGGCATGTTTAGACTCCATAATTCTAAGTACTTTCCTTGTGTTTTCAGGTTAGTGGAAAATGACCGTATTAGAAGCAGAAGAAGAGACAGATGAACGGTCGATCCCTCCAAGAAAAAAGTTTTGCCTGTCTCTGTCAGGACATCGGAATACCACCCCTAAGACTATCTCTCAGCCCCCTCCTACTACTAGCAGAGGGGGCCTTTTTGAAAAACAAACCCTCTCTTACGGTAAGGACAGTGTTACCACATTATTTTCAGCACTGCTATGGAGAGCGTTAAGGTTCACCGACGATATGCCGTTCGCCATATGCGTAATCACCGACGCGTACTGCCATGATTACTTATCATATATATATTTCGGTACTGGTAGCGAATCCAGTGCACTTATGCATAACGGGATCGCGTTATGCACACATCGGCGTATACCATCAAGCGGTCGGCCTATCGTGGTAAGCCTGCTTCCTACTCCATGGATGATGGTTTACCTTAATACAATGGTACATGTTGCAAAGGTGAAGGAAAAATGTTAAACGGCTATCGAAATCATCTGAGCAATCATCAAGATCCCGGTTGCGACGTCATGGGCGGCGGTTCTGAAGGATTGTAATTCTTGAGAAGTTTTATAGTTCCCGGTCTTGTTCTAAGAGTTGCTTTGGGAACCAACGGTGAGGAGCGGAGAACCTCTGCCCGCCAAGCTACGCGTTCGTGTTCACGTTTAGCTCGACTACGACGGGATTTGCAATGTCGACGGAGGCGATGATCACTGAATTCTACTTCCAGACTTGCCACTACGATTTAGCGCCAGTATTTTGGTATCGCCTAAAACCGGAGCGTTGTGCATCTCCCCATTCATCTCTGGTTTTGTGGACGTTGAGTACAATCTATGTAAAGTATGAAAGTGGCGGATCGCATTGAAGCTATTACCGTGATCAGAGTCGTGGTGAAAATTGCAAACGTGAATTATTTAAGAAGACACAATATTGGGTGAAACGGGAAATGGCAATTGGAAAATTGTTGAACGCCTGTCAAGTTTCTTAGATAGAAATGTAGCCCACGTATGTCTTGTTGCTTCTCTATAAAATATCGTCGAGCGGTGTGTTTCAGACAAGTAACGGTGATTGTGATTTTATTTATTCCATGACTCCTCAACCTGGTAATACGTGAGTAACGAGAATTTCACACTCTGTCCTGATATTTACATGTAACACATCCGTCAGCTGTCGTCACGCAATATGCAATAATTATTCAATGTGGGCCACAATTTCTAACACATTTGCTCCATTTCTTGGAACTTCCAAAAAGTCAATTACTACATATAGGATTTTCCAGATAACCCATGGCATGTTTAGACTCCATAATTCTAAGTACTTTCCTTGTGTTTTCAGGTTAGTGGAAAATGACCGTATTAGAAGCAGAAGAAGAGACAGATGAACGGTCGATCCCTCCAAGAAAAAAGTTTTGCCTGTCTCTGTCAGGACATCGGAATACCACCCCTAAGACTATCTCTCAGCCCCCTCCTACTACTAGCAGAGGGGGCCTTTTTGAAAAACAAACCCTCTCTTACGGTAAGGACAGTGTTACCACATTATTTTCAGCACTGCTATGGAGAGCGTTAAGGTTCACCGACGATATGCCGTTCGCCATATGCGTAATCACCGACGCGTACTGCCATGATTACTTATCATATATATATTTCGGTACTGGTAGCGAATCCAGTGCACTTATGCATAACGGGATCGCGTTATGCACACATCGGCGTATACCATCAAGCGGTCGGCCTATCGTGGTAAGCCTGCTTCCTACTCCATGGATGATGGTTTACCTTAATACAATGGTACATGTTGCAAAGGTGAAGGAAAAATGTTAAACGGCTATCGAAATCATCTGAGCAATCATCAAGATCCCGGTTGCGACGTCATGGGCGGCGGTTCTGAAGGATTGAGAATAGCGACATTGTGCAATCTTGGTAACACCTGTTTCTTAAATAGTGTGATTTACACTTTGCGTTTTGCACCATCCTTTCTGCACAATTTACACCATCTCGCCACGGATCTGTCCAATTTGACTGACAAGCAAATGCAAACCAAGGTAGGATTCGTACAATGATCCAGTGACAACATAATTTATCCTAATGTTTCCTTCGACAGATTAAATCCTCCTCATTAGGTAGAACCGGAGTATCCTTAACTTCAAGCGGTAGTCGAAGTTGGAGCAGCAAGGATCTTTTAGCATTAGCAGGTCCCACTGGAGAACTTAGCAAGCCTCGAATACAGGTAGCTACAGAGAAGCTTCACGAATTGTTTATGGCTCTACGAGTCTTAGAAGCAAGAGATAGCAGTGAACCTTTTCAACCGGACGCTTTTCTCCAGGCCCTCAGGTATGCACCCTTTAATCTAGTACATCATATTCGGAGTTACAGTAGCTTCCTCTTGTTTCAGAGAAGTAAATCCTATATTTGAGGGTAATCAGCAGCAAGACGCACACGAGTTATTAGTTTGCCTCTTAGACAACATCAGAGAAACATTTCAATTACTGGTTAGGCATAGAGAGAGTCAGTTTGGTCAGCCGAGTAATGGAGGCGCTTTGGACTTTTCTTCGGAACGTGTGAACGATGTACAATCTGAAGGTAGTTCCGGTAAGCGAGGCGTTCGCAAGTCTTGGAAGAAGAAAAAAGTTTCAACCAAAGGAAGTTCGATATCCATCATCCAAGCAAACATAAACGGCGACGCGGTACCTTCCAGACCGGTGGACAATGGTTACTCGGATTTTCCTGAGAGCAACGGTGACGTAGTCGCTCAACGACCAGAAAGCAAGAAGTGTTTTATATCAGAAGATTTCGAAGGAGTCAGCCTCCTTCGCACAACGTGTCTCGAGTGCGAACACGTCACTGAGAGGAAGGAGACTTTCTGCGATATTTGCGTTCCGATCGATACAGATCGATCCAGCGAGAAGGGTAAGTCATTGGATCAGTTAAGTGAAGGCGTTACCTAACGAATGTTTCCGAACAATGTTGGTTGCTTTAGATGAGTCAGGATCTCCAATAGATAGCAGTGAAGTATACAAACGTGCTGTGGTGACTAGTGAGCTGCTGTGGGGAAGAGACAAGTATTGGTGCGCACGCTGTCTACGCTACAATGAAGCTCGTCGTGCCGTCTGCTTCCCATCGCTACCCAGATTGCTCGTCCTACAGCTCAAAAGATTTTCCACAGCAGCCGGGTAAGATCCAAATGTGATTCTTCTACCAAAAGATTCAAATATTCATGTAAATTCTTACAAGAACCATACGAAGAAGTCTACTTGGTTCTAGCTCTATGGAGAAGATCAACAACCACATGCCGACACCCTTGACCCTTCAATGCTTCTGCGAAGAGTGCAGCTCCGATCAATCACAACGTGTTGCATCAGCACGAGAAAAGGACTCTCGGCACATTTACAAGCTTTACTCCGTGATCATGCATCAGGGGGCCACTATGACAGCTGGGCACTACGTTGCCTACACGAGAATCCCGGACGAGTCCGCTTCATCCGAGTATCTTCGATGTGATCGGGACGGAAAGCGACAGAATTCTGGACAAAGTAATTCCACGTCAAGCGCACCTGTCTCAGACCGAACACCTGGGATACTCAAGTACTTCCGACCAAAGCCCAACGTTACTGAGAACAAGGAGCCGCTGGTAAAAAACGGCTGTCGCAGTATGGAATGCTGTGGCATCCGTAGGGGTAAACATTCCGGTACGTGGTTGGAATGTGACGACGAGGCTGTCAGGGCAATACACATTCGAGAACTCGAGGAGAAGCTTGCACCAAATCCTCGAAATTCAGCGACCCCGTATCTTCTCTTTTACGTGAGGTCCTCAGCGTAAGCATTCCTTCTTACATCTGTATCAAACGTCTCAATTTTAATTTAAAACCTTCAAAATACTTGCGCAAAGGCAAAAACGATTTAAAAATATATATATATATATATATATATATATGTATAAGAAGACATCGTCCGTTGGTGTCATGAATGTCAATTCAGGACATTTTTCGAGTTCGCAAGAAAGAAAAGACGAATGCATGTAAACAGGTCCAACTTCGTGTATCATAGTGTAATGCTTCGAGATCGTAACATAACGTAATAAAAATTGCATATTAACCCTGGAATGCATATCGGAGCGACGCTTCGTCTTAATGCAAAATGTTTCTCAGTGTATTTAATGAAAAAAAAAAGGTGTATGCATTCTAGGATTAAGGATACCAGTATTGAACTCGAAACAATGAATTGTGCGTTTGGCATCCTGTCGCAAAATAAAATCGATGGTGAGAGGGAAAACCGAAGGGATTTAATTTTCATAAATCACAACCCGTATTACTTTGATATGAAATCCCATCAGAATGGATTCCACTCAGTCTATTGTAATAAATCTTAATATTCGCTTCCATAAACAAGATACTATATTCAATGATCCACTGAAAAGTACATTTTTTTACGTCTTCCTATTCCCTGAAACCCTTTTTTTTTTTTACCCTGAAAGGGAATACCAGGGAAGACCTTTCACACGGTAGAAAAAGGAAAGAAAGATGGCCACTGTGTATTCGATGAATTTAAAAATGGGGTTGCAGTCAAGGTAGTGGAATAAACCAGTCGAGTGAGGCAATGACCGCAACGCAGGTCATGGATTACGTATGAACTTGTATTATACTCAATGGAGGTGATTGACATGGGTCCTTGTTAAAAGTGATAGTAATATCTAGCGATATTATCCTCTAAACGGGAAAAATCGGCGGCAATTGTAAAAGGCAGGAATCTGGTACAAAAAGGGCGTGAGTAGAGCGTGTAACACGTTGCAGGCCATTTTTGGATTGGGAGTGAGGAAGTGAATTACGTGAAGTCAAGTGATTTGTGAAACGTAGGACGACGCGGGAAACAGTTGATCGCCGGGTGCCGCCGAGTCGTAGAGGTTATGGATAACTTCGTTAAAATTGAAAAAATCGGCGAAGGGACTTATGGCGTTGTTTACAAGGCGAAGGATAAGCTCACTGGGAAAATGGTGGCGCTTAAGAAAATACGACTAGAAACGTATGTGTTAATATTACATCATAAGTCTCTTTTCTTTTTAGAGCGTCTAAGTTTATGCTTTTTTGTATGTATACTCAGCGTTCTGGCCCCCCTAAACATATTTTTGTCTCTGTCCTACTCATGTAATTTAAATGGATAAACTCAGTGGGTAAATCCAGATATTAATGACGCTGAGTGTATATCGAAACCGGCTTTTATACCTTGTTATTTTGTGACTGAGTCCGCGACGCTAAGCGTTTCGATGTTACCGGTGTGTCGTTGCACTGACAGATCGTTTTAAGGTGCAGCTAACATAAATTAAAAATGAGATTAATTAATGCGTTTCAGGGATTTCATGAGTGGGTGAAAGGTAATAAATGTGGAAATAATGTTAACCTTAAGTTTTCGGAATGGTCAAGTATGCATTCGAAATCCTAATATCTTCATTTTCCTTATTTCTCTTGCACTTTGTTGTTAATCATGCGTTACCAACTTATTATCCTTTTCTCGTTTTCATCTAATCCTTTAAGTGGCAGGATATTTCCTTTTTTTTTCTTCCGTTTACGGGTGGGCTTTTCGCTTTCATGCATCGCTAACACATCCGCTAACCCGCACTTTGGGCTCAGCTGAATCTGCAGGGGCCACGTTACACTATATCCTCGTAGCACCACATTATTCAGCTCGTCCCATCGCGCAATGCTCGCCTGGTATTTAAGTTTTGTGAGTTGATCAAAGAATCTTTATTTTAAATACGGCAATGATTCGTTTACCTGTTCGCGATAATGTTTCTCGTAGTTGTATACCACAGGGAATAAGCGTTTCGCATTGCCGTTTGTAGTTGCCAACTTATTCTGTATGCTTTGGATGTATTAATTAATAACATGGAAGACATAAAGAAGAAGGACGTATTACAGTTTGTTATCTAATTTATTATAACATACAGAATACTATTGCATTGTTAGTGAATATTTTTTGTTTAATGTAATGATGTTTGGTTTTGATTAGGGAGAGTGAAGGTGTACCATCCACTGCAATCCGAGAGATATCCCTGTTGAAGGAGCTTGCACATCCAAACATCATACAATTATTTGATGTTGCACAATGTGATAAACATCTCTACCTCGTTTTTGAATTCTTACAACAAGATCTCAAAAAGTTTTTAGACTCTTGTAAAACTGGTCTAGATTCTGCCCTTATTAAGGTAGTTACTATAATTGAATGTTTGCTGTGAAAATTCTGTGTACTTTGTTAGGAAGCTAGAGTCATTTGTCATTGCAGAGTTATCTGTGGCAATTGTTGAGAGGAATCGCATTCTGTCATCTTCATAGAGTCTTTCACAGAGACCTAAAGCCACAAAATTTATTGATTGACCATGAGGGCTATATAAAATTAGCAGACTTTGGCTTGGCACGTTCATTTGGAATTCCTGTACGTACATACACACATGAGGTTGTGACATTGTGGTATAGAGCTCCAGAGATACTCTTAGGAACCAAATTATATTCCTCATCAGTGGATGTGTGGAGTCTTGGTTGTATCTTTGTGGAAATGGTAGGTGTGCCATTGAAAGCTAATAACACAGATGTTCAGAACCAATGATCGCAAACAAACAGTTATTTTAATAGGCAACAAGGAGAGCCCTTTTCCCTGGAGATGCAGAAATAGATCAACTCTTCAGGATATTTCGAACTCTGGGAACTCCAGATGAGACTGTGTGGCCTGGTGTATCGCAACTTCCTGATTACAAATCCATGTTCCCCAGATGGGATGCACGAAGTCTCGACGAAGTTGTTCCATCCTTTGACTCTAAGGCCAAAGATTTACTTACGGTATGCTAAGATAAAAATGGTATAACACTATTTATATGGAACTATACTTACACAGATACGTTCTGATTGTTTACAGAGATTGTTGACCTATGATCCGAACAAAAGGATAACAGCTTTGATGGCTCTGAACCATCCTTACTTCAATGGTGTGAAGTTAGTACCACCACCATTACCAAAGAAAGACTGACCTTAGTACTCTGTTAGAGTTCGTTTATTCATTATACTTCATAGTACTTTTCATCTGCTAAAAGCAGTACCTCTAGAGCTTAGAAAGTCTACTGAAAAATATCTCAGTTGACATGATTCTAATTATTAAGAAATAATAATAACTATTTTTGATGCATTCATATTTGCTCTGGACAATATTAGTAGTGTTCAGGGCTCATAAAAAAGAGAGAGCTAATTGTATAGTTGAGCAAGGACAAAGTCTCTAAGCCGACTGTAAAGACGTGTTCCTCTAGCGATCCCATTTATTTTTATATAACTTCCATTGTCGTGCAACAGGTACCGTGCGATTATCAATAAAACTAATATGACTTTAACTAAATTGTAATTTAACAAAGTTTGTTCGAGATAATAATAAACGCTGTTGCTGAATATTGAGGTTCTGTTCTGTTTTATTATTTGTAGGAATTAATCGTGTAAGAAGCTTGTAGTACAAATGCAACACCACCTAAGGATTCGTATAGAATTATCATGGGTGCAGGATGATGTCATAGGAACCAAATACGGCTGTACTTGGTTAGTAAAACTCAAGGACACCAATTAACATTATCCACGACTCCATAACATATTTTAATCTTCTTCAGAGTAGAAGATGGGGGTCGGGAAATTCCTGAGTTCCCCAGGTGCTGGGGGACAGATTGCTGCCTGGAAGATCGTCGCTTAACTGGTACGTCAAGCAACGACTACTGCTTGAGCAATCAAAAATCCACGTCCTGAGTATAGCATACCTATTACGATGGTGCAGATAGAGCTAGTGTAGGATTGAACTTTAACCAAATGTCAGTGACTCAATATTTTTCATAGTATTATGGCTCTGACACTAGGTGACCCGTTCATCCTATTTAGGATCGTCATGATCTGTTCCTTATATGCTTATGGCTACGAACGGAATATAAGATTCTTCTCCGAGAAGACACATGCAGAAGGCAGTCAATCTGACGCAAGATCGGATCAGACCAATTTAATTGATACCCGTATCTCATCTCCGAGTATTTGATGTAAATTTATTATTGTGCCAGTCCGCCGGTTCTGGTCGGAGGTGGAGGGGTCTCCACTAGCTTCGGTAGAGCTATTTTCGACTCGGGTCCGGGTACGGGAATCACTGGATCCTGAATATTAGACTCGGGCAGTAGTGAAGCTGCTAGTTTAGGTAGACGAAAGTCTCTTGGGGATGACGATTTCTTTGTATTATCCGTAGACGTCTTCTCCGAGGACTTAATGGGGAGACTGTTTGGTGGTCGTGGAGAAGTTGGCGACCTGGGGGATCTTTTCTCGAGGACATTTCTGGATTTAGTTTTCTTTGCCTCCTCGACGACATCCTCTTCCTTGGCAATGGTCACCTTCTTGGGTGTGCTGGACTCCGGTGTCTTGGCTAGATTCGATTTCTGGGGTCTAGGAGTTGACGTAGGACTGGGACTCCGCGTGGGTGGAGGAGGATGAGGCTCAGGATGGAAATTCTTCTTTGCTTCCTTAACGGGCCCAGTACGATTGTCTTTCCCGGTTGCCGCGCTTATGGAATTCTCCACCTGAGAACGTAGGTTTTTACCTTCAGGACGTTACTGCAATCTCATCCTTTGCACGTGATACCTCGTGCGTCTGGGATTGCCCAGAGTGCTCATCGAATAATTTATACTGCATTATACCAGTGGTACTAGTGGTGGCAGATACGATACAATCAATATAATTGGATCGTCTAATTTCTAAGATTCAAGGTCGTGGATGAATCAGGTGTGTGCAGACTGACCTTGATTGTCCGATTCACCGTGACAGTGAATGGTAGCCATAGCGATGCTGCAAATGCACCAAAACGGTGCAAGCTGGTCGTGAACAACGTGGTGCTAATTATTTTCCATTATCAATATTAAAAATAAAGTGAAACAAGCTCAGGAAAACGATTCGGTTACTCGCGCAATATCAAAGGCCTTACTAACAATGAGTTACTGATACGCACTATCAAGATTCATGATAGTCTGTTGGTTGGGTGCAATGAAACGTGCTAGAAATTATATTGAAAAACAAAAGTATTATTGTAATTAGTATATCTAATAAATCCTAAGATATATATTGAATGGTCGACAACAAACAAATAGCATTCGCACCAAGTGGTAACTTGAGACAATTATACGAATCGGTATTAATTAGTGTTTTCACCTTTAATATCGCATAATCGTTCGAACGGAATACATAATCAACGTAGAAGCGAATACAGCGTTATTATTCCTAGCGAATTATAATGGCGGAAAAAGTCTCTAACAAGTGACGTAGGTAAGACATTTTGTGACGTGATTGCACGAGTGTACTTTCCAACGATAATTCATCCTCATCACTCTCCCCCAATTCGAAATTACCTTCTTCGACCCGACCCTCGCTTTTCTTCAAATATCTCCAATATATTAACTGTCTAAATCCACGTCTTGCCTCCGTATTACGTAAAGATACCAAAATGACGTATCTGTGAAAATACGAATATCACGTGTCGAATTTTTCTACATTACGTAATACAGTAGATACATTCCGTAACGTGACCTCCTCGTTCCACCTAACCTATTTACATACATGCTTAAAAATTCTCATTACTTTATCCCTCTGTCTATCCGTCTCTTGGGTTACGTGTAAACGTGGCGGCGGCCCTACGGTTAAAGATCCTTAAAGATAAGGTCAGGGTGATCGCAGTTGGATTGGCATTACCGATAAATGCATTATCGATTTCGCCATTATCGCCAATAGGTTGTCCTCCGGGCACGAGTTGACTTTATTATAAAAAATCAGCGCGACTGCGATGCTTCTTCTTTCGCATTTCTCAATCTCAATCTCCGATCTCGTGTTCGCTGTCGATTGATCGAAAGTCTGATCTCTTTCCCGTATTGTACAATTAATTAAAAAAGGAAAGGACGACTAGGTGATTCGCAAAACGTATGTGACGGAAAAGTGACATAAGCACGCTACCGCTAAACCCTACCAGCTACGCGTCTCAACTAGCTATCACCAGGGGCGTACATGTTTTTTTTTATTTCTTTCGAGTACACCGTTCTCTCAAGTGAACCGTTTGTCCTTCTGGTCTTTTCCGTTAGACAGGAAGTGCTAGTCCCAATTTGAGATGTGAACCATGGTCCATCCGACTTGGACTTTTTGGATGGCATAATAAACGATAAAGGGAAACGCGCGAGGAACATAATGTCAATTTTTTATGTCTCCCAGTCGATGGACCGCGTGGCGCTATCTATATTATATATATTAACGTGAGTTTTTCTTATCGTACTCATACTTTCGTCTTTGATCTCGTTCAAAAACTCTCACGGTCATTTTTTAATGCTACGCATCATCGACTGATCTCTAATCTCAATGCATTCTCTCTTTTCTCTCTCTCTCTCTCTCTCTCTCTCTCTCTCTCTCTCTCTCTCTCTCTCTCTCTAGCGTTTACAAGCGGCTTGGTGAGTATGCTGCGAGTTAATTCCGTGAACTTTAAAAACGCGAGATCCCTGGTCCGTAGATCAATCTCGCTCTTAGGTCCTGGTTTTGCTCTGCTCTGCTGCTGGTGCACGTGTATAGATCTTCTAGTCAACCGACGACCGATCTGGATGAATCCCCGGTTCGTCAGACTGATTATATTTTCACACTCGTATTATTAAAGCCCCACATCGCACCAACGTCAAGGATCGTGATTCGCCAATCCGCGAAGATCCTCGAGGAGCAACTTGTGAATTTACCAGTAAGCGTATACCATTTGACAGATTTTACTACCACGAAGGTAGATCCTCATGTTTAACCTCAAAATACAGATGTGAACTTTTCTTGCAGAAAGTATACGTCCTCGAGGACGTTGGCGGAGTGACGGAATCTACGTTGCGACGTTAAGATCCTCCGAAGGGAAATATCGACGGAGCTACCTTTGTGGGAAACGTGAACATGAATATAAACGCAAGCAGGGGCTAAGATGGCGACTTAGCATTCCTGGTTGAGGTTCTCGTCCGAAGTAGGCAGGCCGTTCTTGGCTTCCTGGATCGCACCTGGTGGCACGGGGCTCTGCGACACACAACACACGTTCGAGCATTTAGCCAATTTCAAGAACTGGACGCAACTGGATACATGATCTCTCATTCTCATTGGACTAGTCCCGAGCTTCGCCCTTGATAAGGACTTCATTATTATTTTTTTTAATTAATCTGCTTCTCACGTTAGCAGAAGGTTATCGTGAGGCAGGTTGCACAAGCTACAGACACACCGCGCACTTATATTCATACACGTCCTTGATTTGTCCACCTAAAGCTTTGGCCACACGTGACTCGTGTCAACGGAATTTATTGCTGGGTGACGTCACTTCCGATATGCTTTTCCATCAAGATGTATCTTTGACGAGACCGTGAGTAAAGCCGAACAGCGACCTAGATCAAGCTAGAACTACGTCACGAAGTTCAGCGCCATGAAGAAACAAGGAAATTAATGTAAGCAGAACAAATATATATACGCTTAGATCCTGATTAATTAACTGACTTGATTAATTATTGTCTGAAAGGAAACTCGTCGTGAGAATGTCTGGACAAGAGAACAAATTGGAAATGGGGACGGAGCTTGAAGGATATTATGACTGTCAGTTACAAGACACCTGACGTGCATCGTGCTACCAAAGATACCGGAAGCCTGAATCAAGAATGGAGCCTGGATTAAATTATTCATAGAAAAATAGTAGTGCCCTCCATTTTTGATTATCAACTACGGTGGAGTTCACATGCAAAACGTGAAGTCGACTAGATAATCATAAGAAGCCATCTTGGATAATGCAGTGTCTGATTAGAAGATCCAAGACTGCAAGAAACGTCGAAAGACCGATAAAAAGGAATACAAAGATCAGCTTCGACTTTGTTTGTTCTTCTTCGGTGAAATTTTTAAAATTTCTTTTTTTAAATAACTTTAACTTTGTACCTGAGAACCGCTACTGCTCAGACTATCGACGTTAGATCCAGTCTGTCGCAAGTAGTCTTTGTCGTTGAAGATCTTCTTGTCGCCACCGCCAGGCTTGTGTTTCACATTGTCCAAGGATCCCACCTTGCTCTCCGCCTTGATGTCGATCTTCTGCGTCTCGATCTAGCATTACCCATTTGGATTAATTCAATCGTATTTTCTCGAGTACATAAATACGCAATCATATACATAGCGATAGGAAAAGTGAATTTGTATTGTTAGTAAAGCGAAAGCTGAGTTTAAGCAGTGGCGTCCAAAGCTGCGCGCGCATCTCGTGAACAGCTGACATATTCTTTGAGAAATATCTGTGTCTTGTGTTAGAGCTTGTTGTTTTTCCTGCACATACTTGAAAGCATGCACGGCAATCGGCCGACACATGATTTCGAAGTATGACGGAAGTTAAGGGGGAGTGAACTATATAGATACTACGGTACAGCCAACTATAGAGCCCCTATATTATTATGATCGGAACAAACTAATAGTTGAGATCGACCAATTGTTTCCTCGCGATCTGCTCGCCCTCGACATGCGAAATCATGCTTGGCTACCCTCCTTATATCTGACTTCTACCCTTCCTTCGTAACTACCCTTCACGTGCAATGGCTTATACTTACCAGAGATAGCGATAGCGATATACCTATAGTAAAGCGTGCGCGAATCCGTACCGGAGGTAATAAATTATTTTCTACTGTAACGCTGATCGATATGCAGATTGTTTTTCTAAAGGCATTGGTCCTACCGGATACGATATGAATTTTTGTAACAAGTCCATTATCATCTTTTTGTAAAACACTTCTCGATCCATATATTGACTACGATCAATACCTTAGAAAATCACTGAGCATATTGCACGTGCAGAAATTCACCATAATATTAAAGTTTCAAGTAACGCAGGCGGAAGTGCAGATCATCCGACGAATGTCTTCTTCCTTGGAACGAGCGTCCGTGCCAATCGAGATGCGATCGATTATTGGGAATTTTCTGAACGGAAGTGATCGTCAATCACGGAGTCTCTCGAATGACAGGAAACACTCATCCGTAGGATATAGGAAGACTATCGCAAGGATTTTATATACCGATTACTTACGTCCTCGTTGATATCCTGCGGCGTCTTTGGCGGCGTCGTCGTTGACTAAACACCCAAAAAGAATAAACAGCAGGTGTTACAAGTGACATCCTGGTTAATTTTGAATGTCGTGTTTCGTGTGTGTGTTTCCGGTCTGCATTGGGTTCAGTTTTCATCAGGTGTCTCTCTTCTGGTTTTTTTTTTTTTTTTTTTTTTTAAATACGTACTAAGAATGACGTCTCGAATCTTCCACATGTCACGTTTCGCTCGATGAGTGTATCGATTTGATCGTTACTGTGATCATTGAATGTGGATCCGATTATGAATTATTACACCGATTATTGTAATATAAAATTCGAGACAAATGAGATTTGTATGCATATAAGGTATACACCTGGGCATTCCTCATGCAATCATTTTCTTTCACTAAGCATGTCCACTTTCTACGACAATTATGACGTCGCAACGAGACGATGAACGAAGGGAGATCATCGTTGAGTATACATATCGGCTATGTGATATTTAGTATTTGAGCGTTTGAGCTATCGAGCGAGCTATTTAGTTACAAAACACGGCAAGCGTTTGCTGCTCATTGAGCTGTAGGAATTTTGAGATTGCGGCATTATGTATATTGCTTAAGACTAGACCTGTCCTATTTAACTTGCAGATGCTGAGATAAGGTAACATCGTGGATGCATCGTGCAGACTCCTTGAGTAATCCACATGTGGTTTTCTGCTTCCTGGCAGGAGACGTCATTGCTTTCCGTACTCGTTATTTGTTAATAGAAGACAAATATTCGACTTAATCGGATCTATTGTTAGCGAACTAGGATCGAGGGATGCATATAGAGAAAACGATAGCATGCCGACGTTAAGAGTAGAAAAATATAGCAATCAAAAACCTGACGTAACAGAAGATTCTGGAATCTCGCGAATTTTCAACAGTCAACCATGAAATCTTTCTTCTCTTCTAAATCGAGGTCTTTTTTTACGGTTTTGAATTACCTTCACGCTTCCACCTCCTGGTACGTGCTTGGCGTTATCCTTTGAACCAACTTTTGGTTTTGCTTTGTCCTTGAAATCCAACTTCACCGTTTCTATCTTCTTGTCGCCACCGCCTGGTTTGTACGTCGCGTTGTCCAGTGAACCCACCTTAGGCTTTGCGTTCCACTGAAGCTTCACTTGCGTTATCTGTACCAGAGATAGAATGGACGTGACCGTGGATTATGAGGGATTTATTGTTGATTTGTATAGAAAAAAAAGAGATGCTGAACCTTCTTATCACCACCGCTGGGAGTATATTTCTCATTTTTCGCTGCGATCTTTGGTTGCGCCTTACTGAAATCCAATTTTCGATTCTCGATCTTTACTTTTCCGCCACCAGGTTTGTAGCTGGCATTCTCCAAGGATCCGATCTTCGATCGCACTGTCTTCAGGTTGGGCGAGGGTGCGGCGCCAACCTGAACTTTGTTCATGGGAACTTCTGGGGACAAATCATTCGTGGAAGGACCCGTTCTCTTTTGTTTATCATCTTTTAATAGACGCTGTACTCACTCTTCTTCTCTGTAGGCACAGCTGATGCCGCAGTGTCTGGCGTTTTAGGCAATGACTTTGCTGACTTACTCGGTGACTTGGTCGGGGATGCTGCTGTTGATCTCTTTCCGGTATCCTTAGATTTTGAGGGCGATTTCTTCGTGGGGGATCCTGCTATGCCATTTGTGCTTGTTCCCTATATAATTGAATTATACAATTGATCAATTATCCTTATATGTTTTAAACGGGATGTTTGAATGCTGAAATACTTACGTTGGTTCTCGCTGTGTTTTCCTCCGCCCTGCTGTGGTGCTCGGGTTCTGGGGGAAGAAACGAAATATCCTTAGAGCATCGAAGAAGGGATCAACTTTATTTAATTAGTATTAGGTTACTCTAAGAATTATTCTGATGTAAAATTTTGTTAATGAACCGAAGCATAGTCCCTATTGAATGATTGACTGTATCAGGGAATGATTTGAATTTTTGATCAAGTAGATTTTCAATATGGATGATTAAGGAACCTGGTTTCTTTGCTCGAGCTGACGTCGTTTTCTTTTCTGGTGATTTTTCTTTGTCCACCCTGAGAGGAGTTTGCGGACGGCGAACAATCCCTGTAGGAGTTGTCGGAGACTTTCCTCTGGAGGATTCATCCGGAGTGACTGATCCGCTCGTAGGAGTCTTCTCCTGTTTTTCTTTTCGTGTTATGGATTCCTCGGAGAAGGTCGCCCTTTTCTTTTCACCTTCCGAAAGTCTTGCGCCTCCTGGTGATTTTGGTGTCTTTGGTGACTTGGGTGGAGAAAGTGGACTGCTCGGCGGAGTCGCGTTTGGTGAAAGTGATTTCCTTTGACCATTATCAAAGCCCTTAATGCTACCTTGGGATGATCTTGAAGGCGACGCGGATCCAGGAACAGATAAGCTCTCTCTGTGTTCTGGGGTCGATGGAGTTCGGGTCCCAGGACTACTCGGAGATGTACCGGACTTGCCTGATGGTGGACGTTGACTTGGGAAATTGGACGTTGCTGACTTTGGTGGTTCCGGCGTAGAATCGAATGAGGGCATTCGTGATTTTCGTGAGCTTGGTAGTTCAGCTGGCGGATTGGATGCAGCCACTACGGGTTTTGGTAACTTCGGCGACTCATTGGTCACACTGGATGTTAAATTTGGTGAATTTGGTGGTTTTACGGATTCTTCTGCTCGACTCGAAATCATACCGGGTGACTTGGGTGATGCCGGGGTTGGGGATTTTGATTGGTTTACTTCGGGAGCCGGGGTGGACGCGTTGCTACGATTCTTTTCCTCGGACACTGGCGTTTCAGATTTTTCAGGACTCTTTTCATCGCCAGCACCACCAGTCACAGTCTTGTCTTCAGCAGGCATTTTTTCAGATTTCGCGGGCGAGGTAGACGAAGGAGTAGTTTTCTGACTGAAGGAATTTAAACTGACATTTATATCATCGGCAGTCGAGAGTCTCGATTCTGCTCGAGGAGTTTCCTGTTTGTCCAAAGAATTCTGGGAAGGACTCTTCGATTTATCCAGCTCGACAGTTTCCTTCGTCAAGTTGTCATTCTGCACTTCCGTCGCAGCCGGTCGCTCTACTTCCCTGTGTATTACTTCCGGTGGACGAGGAGTCTGTGGCTTCCCATTGGTCTCGCTGCTGTCCTTAAGATCCTGTATCACGGTTGTCCCAGGACGCACAATTTCATCTTGGGACTTTTTTACAATCCACTCCTTACTCTGGTTCTTATCCGAATCGAAGACCACGTCGTCATCGTCATCTTCATTGTCTTGATCTTTACCACGTATCTTTACCGGCTTCCTTTTAATGATGTCATCATCTGCCTCCCTCTCGGCTTTGATCTCCTGCTGACCAATCTTCTGGGACAGGTCAGTCATTTTTCCAAGGACGGGAGACGAGCCAATGAACTTTCTATCGTTAGGAGCGTAAAGCTCGGAGATGTTCCGTCGGTCGTCGTTCAGGTTAGGGGCATTCCTTGATTCCGCCCCAGGACGCGGAGAAGCGATTCCCTCGAAACTCGAGGAGAAGTTCGGATTTTGAAGAGGCTGAGAGAATTCTGAAGGATTCTGAAGAGGCTGAGACTCCAAGGACGAAATTCTTTGTGGTCGTTGAAGAGAAGTACCAGCAGGTCCGAAAGGAGGTCTCGGATGCTGTTGGCTCTGTGAACCAGGTCGGATGGCGCCCGTAGGATTTTGGGGAAAGCGAGGACCTGGTGCGAACTGCTGCGTCGGCCTCGGAGCGAAGTTTCCCGGTGACGGAGGGCGCGGAGGACCGAAATTCGGCCTCGTCTGGAACTGCTGAGGCCCTACCGAGCCGATGGAGGATCGACTGTCCAGTCGACGCAGAGGCGGCGGTTGTCCTGCTAGAGGACGGGGTCCACCGGTAGGTCCATTGTTCGGAGGATATCTGGGCGATGCTGGACCCTGAGGTCTGGCTTGAAACGCTGGCGGAAGCGACGGGCTCTGTTTTACCTGCGTCAAAACATTTATTTCCAACTGAAGGCTAAAACTCTACCCGACCCACCCTCAATGATCAAGACAGCTCCCAACCCGTAGATCCCTTGATCCACCGATCGCACGATAATGCCTCAAAAAGACTAGACCTATGTATACCCGTACCTATATGTATTTTTCAAATCACATTTTTCTACACCTCCTTCCAAAAGTAATCGTTGCTGCACGCTACACGATCGCACAATGTGATCCGGTATTTGTGACGTTTAAAAAAAAAAAAATGTGCCGTCGCTTAAGGAGAGACTGACCGGAAAAGTTGACGTTGGAAAAAGTGAAGCTAGCTTTCAAGTGTTGGTACACCTGCCAGGCTTGGATACGTGCTTTTTAATTCGATTAGCGTAATCGAATTTCGAAGCATGACCCCTCGTCAAGCACTGTCGCCCGCTTCCCCTGGTCCCACCCATCCCTCATCAAGCCCCGACTCCTCGCAGGGGCCTCCACTCGCACGATTTCGACTCAAAACGAGACAAAACGTTGTAAATCGCGTTAAAACGTTACGCAGAGGCAGCCCAAGAAGTAGAGATAAAAGGGAGTGAGAGGAGATTGGCTGCGGGCCCATCGATCTCTCCTCGTAATGCGCTGAGCTTCCTGATACCTCGACCGAGCTTTCTTCGTGCCTGCCACCGTTTCCACTCGGCCCTAGACTTTTATTACTCGGATCGATCGGGAATACCTACGTGAACTATCGACATTCCGATCCGCCTAATGCTGCCTTAATACACTCGTCGATTTTCTATGTTTTATAAACGCGCATCGAACCTATAATCCGTTCGCAGTAACTTTCACCGAACTGATCCGATCGAGCCAAGAATATCTACCTTACCAATGGTCGTTCAAAATGACAAGAAGACAAATCCCTAGGAAAGATGCAAATCCGTCCAGCGACTGACTGCTTACCATAGCATCCCCTTTCACGGCTACCGGATCGGCCATTGCTCTTGGCGTCTGTTGCGGATCCATTCGCGAGTACAGCTGGATAATCTTTTTATTTCTCACAACTTCTTTATCTCAGTCAGAGCGGTCAACTGAACCTTCCGTCAATACCGAGACAGTTCTCCATTAACCTGTTGCGTACGACAGAGAATGTTACAGGACATAAGCTTTCCTCTCGCTAGCAAACTGGCTTTTGCTCTTTCCGATCCTGAGTGCGTGATAGCTTCGGCCGCTTTCGTGTTTCTACGGTTTACGTGTCGTCGCGGCCTTTTGGATTTTCGTTCCGCGTGTCGCTATCAGTGAACCAGCCTTATACTAGCATTCAGTTGATATACGAAAAATACCTAGAGTACCTACAGTGTCGTGTGTATTGTATATACGGTTACTTACAATTAGTGCGTCGAAGCTCATGTACCAATATTCTACTGATTACTAGGCGTAAGTGGCGTCCTCATCGTAATACCTATATACGATACCGTACTGCGTGCGAACGCCGTGTGAGTACCACGTGCCAATACAATAAGGGATGCGAAGCAAAGGTGGCTGAGAGTGGGGGTGGCTTGTACGAATCTGCATAAGTATATTGGTAGGTTCGTACGTTGAGGAAAAAGATTGGAAAGGGTGACTGTGGTGGGTTCGAAGGTCACGGGGTGTATGGAATCTACATATATATATGGGGAGCATGCAAGTCACCTTAGGGTTGGTTTCAAAGGGTGCAAGGGGTACTCTGACTCGAGGGACTCCTTCTTCTGGCTAGCAGAATGCCCGTCGCTGTGTTCAGCCGTTGCGAATACGCCTTGTGCATGTGGATGGCGTCGCTTAACCTTGGCGAATTCCATCGGCATCGCGATAAACTCCCAGCAAGTTCGTGTCCCGCGATAATAACTGCGTCGCTCTTTGAAAACTCGTTAGCCGTGTATTACACTACCGGGGATCTTTGAATTCTCCGAATTCCCACGTTATGCCTACACGGTTGCATCGTTCGTGAACGTTCAAATTGACGGACACGGATTTTATTGTATATTATAGATATTGTGGGAGCACCGCTGCGAACGAGGAATTCATGAATTCTCAGCCGTCGTCCGATCGCTCGGCAGAATTAACGTGTCGTAGGCCGAGGCGACGTTTCGAAACTTCCCCACGTGTAAGGTCTAATTAAGTCGAATTGTTATCGCAATTTCTGGATTAATAAACGGGTCTATATTTGATCGCGATGCTCAGACGTGACTTCATTCAAGTCACGCTTACTTTATGCTAAGATTACGGGGTGAACGTAACAGTCTGCGTGTCGAGACGAACTCCGACCGTTAACCTTCTAACGACCTCCAGACTTTCCTGCTCTTTTCCGACCACCAGCCCAACTTATCAGACCCAACTTATCAACTTATCAACTGTTTGTTTAGGTCTGAAAAGGTTCAACGTGAGTCCCGCTAGACTTTTCGATGTATTTCAGTCTATCTTCGCATATCTTATACGTACCCACGATACCATTGACGTGGGTGGAAGAACAGTCGGGGGAATAATAGACGTTTTAAAGAACGCTAAAAAAAGTCTAGCGTTCCTAAAGAAAAGTTTTTTTACCACGAGAGCTAAAGTGCCAGCTAAAGTGGCAGGCTGAAGTTTGACACGAAGAACGTCAGACAATGGGACGACTGGTCAGGAATTTTGGGCGATTACCATCAGTTGGAAAAAGCAGAAACGGGCCGTATGGGATACGGCCCGCTGACTAGTAGGCGAGTGCGATTGGTTGCCGCTATTGATCCGGCTCACCGAGCGTGTTCGACTCGAGTCTTTTACGTAGAGAAGTATATTCTACGTACGTACGGTACGAGTTACGTATATCCCTGGTACGTTAGTAGGCGGATACACGGGACTGATGGGGGGTCCGATACTCGGTAACGAGGAAATAGAGAAATTGCATGTAAATACGAATGATCTTTTAGCGAACTGCACGAGTCTAGCCTTCGATCTATCGACTGTATTCATGTCTGATTACACGTAGACTATATATATGTATACACAAATTGACGAGTCTATCATCCATATATCCTCAGGCGAACTACGCTGATCGACCATAGCTCATTATACACAACGGGAACGTAAGGATTCTCTCAGTTCCTTTGTCGTCGAAAGGATTTGACGTGTCTATTGATTTTTGTATCTCGCATAGTCGCTGGTAGCTTTGGTGCGTGGTACCAGGAATTTATGGGACACGCACTTTTCATGATTTACGAGTTGGCATTCCGAGTAATGTAGGTTATAAGCGGCGGCGTTTCCACGCTGCATGGGTCCTGCGTGAAAATGCGCCCCAATATCCATCGGCAGCAAGAGGTGGATGGTGGATTAGGATTTTTGTTCGTCGCTGCGTTCTATTGTTTTCAACTTTCCAGGTTGGCTAGAAGTTGGCCGACACGGAGGGTAATGGCACGTTTATGTCCTGATGACGTTTTGTAGATCTAGTGCGCGGTGCTGCTCATTTATCTAATGTCGGCTAGCGATTTATCTATGGGAACGTTGTCCTGTGTCACCCCTATGGACACACAGAACTTTCACGAATGGCGGACAGCGAGATCTTGCGATTTCTTATCATTTCGCGTATCGGACTTCCTGCATCCATTTTATGCCAATGGTGAGTGGTCGTTTGGATATTTTATTTTTATTTCTTTTTTTTTCCCCGTATAATTGCGTCATCCTTTCAATCGACTATTCTTCGTAGACCGCACCAAAGAGGTTCTACCCTGAATTTCGTTAAGGTCTGTTTTATTTATCGTGACTTTCTTTATTTTTCTTTACGCGAACGACACTTTCACTGCGTGCTGGAATATTTACAATTTTACCTACGTGCTTCGTGCGCTTATTTAATTAATACTTTTTGCGACAAGTATCACGCGTGAATACTCTACGTAGTAGCCAAGCTCCCCAAGTCCACTTATCTCAGTTATACCATAATAAAGTCGAGATAAGTAAACGAGGTGTCTATAAGATAATAACAAGCAATCTGATACACGAGAAAATTATTATGTGTCTAAAGGTAAATCAACCCATGATCCTTACTTACGGACTCCAAAATATCCCGAGGATTTCGAAGGATCCAGAACTTTTACGTACCAGCACCCGTCTCTACCCCGTACAAAGAAGAGGTCTAAAGACACCGTTAAAAATATCTTTCGTTATCACTGCAGCACGTCGAGACGATTTCTCAAGAAAAAAAATTCACAATCCAAATTATTCTTTGACAAAATCCCGATAGGCGTTTCCCCAGTACCTGGATCCTTCGAAAATAATAAGTCAGCTCCCTAGGCAGCCAGGACTTCAGACGGGGAGGCAGACAGACAAACCGAGCCAGGAGTCCGCTTACCTGGCGAGCGATTTTCTTTCCGTCCGTCAACTAGGGTGTCTAGACGGTCGACTGGTAGCTCGAACCCCGTGCACTACTAGCCTCCATCGTCCGCTCGTCCTTCCGTATATCCGTCTATAGCTACGTGTGTCCTGTATATAGGCTTTGCTCCTGCGCTCCACGCCCAACCCAACTCGGTTCACTCGATACCCACGAGCCCGAGACTTCCCATGAAGACGAGGAAACCAGGAGGCTAGGAGAGGATGAGAGAGAGAGAGCGAGAGAGAGAGAGAGAGAGACAGAGAGAGAGAGAGAGAGAGAGAGAGAGAGAGAAACAAACTCTCTCATTATACACATCTCGTTCTAATATCTGCTTCTTATGTTTTTTATATGCTGTATAGTTTTTTTTTTTAAATCAACCATCAAACCATTTTATTCATCCGACCTACAGAAATTTCCTATTTTTCCATATGTGAAATTTAGGGATCAATCTCTAGGAGGATACCGGGTGCGTGCGATTTGGTGTATATCTACTTTCAGGGTGTGCCTCGTGCATTCGTCCAGTCGACGGTTGATAAAAGCTCTAACCAGCTTGCAGAGATTTAGAATGAAATATTACATGGTTAATGGAGATCCTGGTTAAATTAACGTTTAACAATGATAATTATCTTGTCAGGTCTGACCTGTGTCTGTTTTTAGTTTTATATCTCTGTATGTATAACTATATACACTCAAGGCCAGCCGGTATATAAACCAGTATGTGTAGCATAGGATTCCACTTGTATTTTCCTTTTCATTTGGTAAAAACGTTGTCGCTCTAACATAACTGTCGTGTTTAAAGTTCATACCGGAGACAGGACTTTTACTTAACAATATAATATGCGTGATGACATTGTCTCGCTGAACAAGAGGTGGAAAACGCGTCGCGAGAGAAGCTTTAGTTTTCTAGGTGCGCCAAAAGTAACGTGTCCGATAAACCCGTGTGTATCCAGCGGTCGCACCTTCGCATCCACTTTAATTTCGTAGCCATTAACTTAATGCGTCGCACTCGCTATTTGTTTTCTTTGCCAAGCGCCATTTGTAGAAGAAGATTCGTGAAAGTAAATAATATAAAAATTTTTCTAACTTTCTCACTTGACATAGAAATAATAACAATCGAAGATACAGTCTATTTATAGACCGAACGTAGCCATAATATTTTTCCAGTATGGTCATCGCATCGAGCGTTTCGTCTATCCAGCCACCACGTCACAGGCTGAAGCCACATGGATCCAATTTATTACACGAGAGTTGCGGTGTGCTACTCGAGACACGTTCGTAGCTATGAAAATCAATTAAACCATCCATTAAGAATTTCCTCAGGCATAAAGAAGTTGCCATTCAGGGGATTTCGCCATGAATAGATGAAAGGGACTTTTGCTTCGGTTCCGTCGGGCGCTGATATCGATTAACGAGTTAGTAACTTGGTAAATACTTACTGCGAGCGTCTAACGCTGCTCGGTTTCAAATCTCTCTTACCTGAAACAAGAGGAAAGTAAGGTTAGACGTGTATGCGATAGGATATTCGAAAAAAATTTTTACCAATAATTACTTTACGTTTTACAGTAACTCCTGAACAACTTTATACGGTCACGTGAGGTTAGCTAACAAATCCTAACCTCATTTCTGGCGGCTGGGATTCGTTCGGGGAAACAAAAAGGATGAAGAACGAGTGAAAGAGTGACGCGTGACATTAGGTCAAGTGGGTCAAGTAATCCAGGTTAGGTTAGGTTGAAAT